GGCGCTGGGGCCCCCTGGCGTCGCCTGTGGCGCTGCCCCTGGCGCGCGGAGCGCGCCAGGGAGGGGGGTCCAGCGCGGATCCAAGAAATCCGCGCGGACCTCCAGGTTTTCACGTTTCTGTCATTCTTCGTTCCCCTATATTCGCAGTGTGCCTACTTGCAAACGGCCGAAAAGCGCATGTCTTTCTCTCTCTCTCTCTCTCTTGTGTCAGGGATCTTAGATCCCCCGCGGCAGATCCAGCCATTTGCGAGCAGGTACTCTGCGAGTAGTGGAACTCGCTTGTCTACGATCGGTGGGGACGCGGGGTTTCCGGAGGGCGCCGTGGATTTCCGCGCGGTTGTCCTGCCTCTGGATGCGTTCCAGCAGCTGCGCCTCGCCAGGAGCGTTCCAGGGTTGCTCGGATCGGCCCGATCGGCCCCCCGAGGGCCCGAGCCATGACCTGAAAGCCACCGGGCGCCGCAGGGGCCTCCTCCTCCTCCTCCTCCTCCTCCTCCTCCTCCTCCTCCTCCTCCTCCCCCGCTGAGTCACCACGCGGGTGAGTCAGCGGGGGCTCGGGTTGGCCGCACGCTTTCGGGGACTCGGGTTGTGCCGCGACGACGCCTCGGGCGGCAGGGGTCTCCAGGGTCCCAGGACGGTGCGGAGGCGGACCGTGCGGTGAGGTCCCTTGGGATCTTGAGGTCGCAACAGGATCTGTCACCGCGCCGCTGTGGGACCCCCGAGGGGCCGCACATCGGGAGAGAGGGGACGAAGGCCAACCGCAGTTCTTGCTCGTTTGGGCAGGGCTCGCTGTCAGCCTCGCCTCGGCCACCCGCCACTCGAGATGAAGAGCCGGCTTCCCAACGGCGGCCGCTGTCGGTGTTGGATCATATCTTCTGTTGGGCAGCATGCCAATTTCACTACCAATTCCGGCCGTCCAGAGAAAGATCACCTGGTGCAGAATGAACTTCCCAGATTTGCGATGATGTGACCGTTCCAATCCCCGCGTGTTCCCTCGTTTCTTGCCCTTGGGACTGGCTATCGAGTACCAGGCCATCAAAAACGGACGCAGGGCGGAAATTGCCCCCGGGGACGGTGGCGGGACTTGGGGCTGGCCCTTTCAGCAAGCCACATCGTCGGATGTCTTGGGGGGAGGGCTATATCGTCGAGACAGCGGTGGCCCTCCCTGGCGGGTTTGTTTCCTTGCTTTTGGACTTCCTGGAGGCTCCCTGTCGACGCGGTCGGCTGTCCGCCTCGAGAAACGCGTCAGGAGGGACCCTGGGAGGGCTCCAGGGAGCAATCGTGAGCGGACTTGGGACGGCGGAATCTAGGGTTAAGTCGGGCCTGTCCCTCTGGAGGGGGAATATTCAAAAATGGTTCAAACAATTGTCTGGGGACTATTTTTTTGAGTATGTTTTGACCATTTTGGAGTATTTTTTTTTTCGTCGAAGATCCCCCTGTAGGCGGAAATCTAAGGGAACGAGCAATGACATAAACATAACAATTCGGAGGTCCGCGCGGATTTCTCGGATCGGCGCCGGGACCCCCCTGGCGGTCTCCGCGCGCCAGGGAGGAGGGGGGGTGTCCAGCGCCGATCCGAGGAATCCGCGCGGACCTCCGAGTTCTTGTGCTGATGTCATTGTTGCCATGTCGCTAGAATTGGCATACATCGTCATCGTCTGAACCATCCCTACCCCTGCCAGGACAGGGCGAGCTGGCTCTCCTAGCGCACCCCCTCCAGGTTGGGATGGGTTGGGTGCCCGGAAGCCCAGAGGAGGCAGCGCCCAGCCCCACATTTAGGGGGGCAGGCTGGCCAGGGGGGCCGAGGTTTCCCTGGTGGATGGGTCCTCGCGGACGGGCGGCTGAAGGACCGAATGTGAAGCGTGTGCCTGAGCTTGTGATCGTTGTCTTATTCGTTGTTTTGCCGATCGGCGCGGGCGCTCGCCCCCCCCTCCCTCCCTCCCCCCCCTCCAGGGAGCAGAGCCCGCCTGCTTCTGGCGCCCGTGTCGAGCAGGTGGAGTCTCCCGTATGCAGGACGCACGGCTCCAAACAGCCGCACCGAGCGGCGGTCCGGAGCCAGGCCCCTCCCCCCCCCTTCCCTCCGCCCAGTGCTGGGGGGCCACATGCGAACCCTACCCCCGCCCCCACGATTGCTGCATTTCCGAACGAAGTGAACCCCAGCCATCCTCGGACCCTGAAGAAACAGACTCCTGCTCTCCTCCTCCTCCTCCTCCTCCTCCTCCTCCTCTTCCTCTTCCTCCTCCTCCTCCTCCTCCTCCTCCTCCTCCTCCTCCTCCTCCTCCAGTGTTCTCCTCCAGCTCCTCCCTCCTCCTCCCTCCTCCTCTCCTCCTCCTCCTCTCCTTCTCCTCCTCCTTCTCCTTCTCCTCCTCCTCTCCTCCTCCTCCTCCTCTCCCTCCCCCTCCCCTCCTCCTCAGAACTCGTGGGGGGTATATGGGGGGCAGGGCTCGCGTGCGGCCCCCCGCCCAGTGCCGGCACGCCGAGCGAGAGGGGTCGCCAGGAGGAGGGCCCGCCGCGACGGCGGCGGCCCTCCCCGGCGATGCTCCGTCGCTTTCTCTCGGGGCCTAAGAGACGGGGGTCAGTGCAGACGGGGGTCAGCCAGGGCGCCTCGAGACGGGGGTCCTCCTCCTCCTCCTCCTCCTCCTTCCCCTCCTCCTCCTCCTCCTCCTCCTCCTCCTCCTCCTCCTCCTCCTCCTCCTCCTCCTCCTCCTCCTCCTCCCGTCTCGGGGCCTAAGAGACGGGGGTCAGTGCAAACGGGGGTCAGCCAGGGCGCCGGATCCTGCAGGATCCTACGAAGACCCCCTCTCGCCGACCCGGGTTAGAGAGCCGCTCGTGGCCGCGGGGCGGCCGCGCCTACTGCCTGACCCGGGTCTGCGAAGACCTGCGTTGCATTTTTTTTTGTCCTGCAGTGCAGTTTTTGGTTTCCTGCTGACCTGGGTCTGGAGTGACCCGTGTCAGAAGATCCCCAATTTCTCTCGAGGCTCCCCCGAGGCGCCTCGCCGCCCCACAGTTCAGGAGGGAACAAAAACACACACACACAGACACCATGAGTCGCCGATCTCCCCAGAAGATGTGGGAAAGAATCTGGGCAGTGGGGGGGGAACGCAAACACCCCGAAAATATATGGGAAAGTCTGGGGAGTCCTGCTATGTGTGTCTATGTATTTGTGTGTCCCTGGGCCCCTTGAGCAGCGCCGGAGAGCCGCCTCGCCAGAGTCGGGCCCTGCTGCGGGCGTGCTGCCCCAAAGGGTCGAAGAGCAGCTTCGCGCCAGGGTTGTGGAGGGCGATCCATGGAGAGGAAGCGTGCTGCCAAGTAGTTCCCAGGTGTCTAAAACATGGGTAAGCCATGTTTTAAACATGTAAAACCATATGGTAGAACACATGGTAAACATGTTTTAAGCATGGTAAACCTGGTTTAAACATGGTTTAAACCATGCTTGCCAATGTTCCAGATGTCTAACACATGGGTAGATCATGTTTTAAGCATGTAAGCAGCATGTTAAACACATGTTTTTTCGCACGGATGCGCCTCTCGCAAGTCGGGCCATTCTGCGGACGTGCTGCTCAAGTCGCGGAGCGCCTTTCTTTTCTCGCAGAGGTGCCTACTCGCAGACGTCCGAGAAACACCCGTCCGCTTTGATGTGATTTATCGTAGATCCCCCTTGGAGCATCCTGGTCATTTGCGAGCAGTTACTTTGCGAGTCGTGGAGCGCGCTCGTCTATCAAAGGATCGAAGAACAACTTCGCGCTGGTGAACACTCGATGTTCGGAGGGTTCGGCCCCTTCGCCGGGAGCCGTCTCTGCACGGTCCCTGGGCGGGAGGAGCGGCCTTCCATGGGAGGCCCAGAGAGCGACGAAGGCCCGGCCGGCACGATGTTTTCGTGTGACGCCCAGGTCTGATCGACGTCGTTTTCGTAAGCTCAGAGCGTGAATTACCTACCCCGCTTTCGCTTCCAGGCAAAACCAAGTCATACCATGCGCCTCCTCGTCAAGCGGCCTGACCAGTACAGGCCGTAGTTTGGCATCGCTTGGTATCTCTTGGAAGCGAGGGTGGTCAAAACGAGGTAGGTTTGCTTGCCCCCTATAAACAGAACTCGGGCCGAACGAAAGGGGGGGATGGGGCAAGGGGGTGCTACGAAATCTGCTGCATGCCGCCGGGCCCATTCCTCGATATAATTGGGCGCCTCCCGGCGCCGGAAGGCGCCGGGAAAGTCAGCTATATACGGGAGCCGATTCTCCATCCCCCCCTTCTTGCTATCCCCCCTTTCGCCCGGCCCTAGGCATCGCTCGGACGTGTGCATTTTTCCTTCGGCGAGGACCATCGAGGTGCATCCTTGATCGTTTGGGGAAAGAATATCCACGCACGACACCGAACAACAAAACGCAGGAAATGGACGTCCGAGCGATGGCCAGGGCCCCGAGTTTGCTCCACGTCGTCTTCGTGAACACAGAACCTTCCGGTGGTTCGCGCGGATTTCCTGGGTCGGGAGGCGCCGGGCAAATCAGCGACGTGAGCTGATTCCCAATCCCCCCCTCTGCTATCCCCCCCTTTCGCCCGGCCCTAGGCATCGCTCGGACGTGTGCATTTTTCCTGCGGCGAGGACCATCGAGGAGCATCCTTGATCGTATGGCGAAGAAAAACACGCACGACACCGAACAACAAAACGCAGGAAATGGACGTCCGAGCAATGGCCGGGGCCTGAGTTTGCTCGACGCCGTCCTCGTGAACAGAACCTTTCGGTGGTTCGCTGCGCGGATTTCCTGGGCCGGGAGGCGCCGGGCAAATCAGCCATACGTGAGCTGCTTCCCAATCCCCCCCTCTGCTCTCCCTTCCTTTGGCCCGGCCCGCGTTTGCTCGACGCCGTCCTCGTGAACAGAGAACCTTCCGGTGGCTCGCCGCGCGGATTTTTCCTTCGGTCGGCGCCGGAGCCCCCTGCTGGCGGCGCCTTCCCGGCGCCCGCCTCTGCCTCGCGCTCCTCTCGCGCCAGGAAGGGTGCTCGAGACCCGATTGCCAGCCTCGAACGTATCCCTAACCCGAGTAAGCGATTAAGGAACCCCCCCCCCCTCTCCGGTGAAAGGATAACGCACCCGGCACCCGGAAGCGTTATCCTGGCACCCGGAGGCGTTATCTTAGCCTTTCCTTAGCTTTCCTCAGCTTTTCTCAGCTTTTTCTCAGCTTGTCTAAGCTTTTCCTTAGCTTTTCTCAGCTTTTCCTTATTCGCATTCGTATTCTTATTCTCATTACAATTCTAATTGGGATGCCACCCGAGGCGGGGCGCTGGAATTATTTATTTTCCTTCCATTTGCGCGGTGCTAATAATATCGCTCGGCGAAAACCCCCCCAAATAATTATTTAATTACGGCGCGGTGCTAATGATTTCGCCGGGGGGGTCCTTAATTGCTTCTCCGGGTTGTCCCTAAGATCGACACGCCAAAAGGCGACGACAATCTTTGGGATTCGCCCTCAGAAAATGAGCGAATCCCTAAGATTGGCATCGTGATGAGGAGGTGCCCAGCATAGGGATAGGGATGTGCTCCAGGCTGGTAACCCGACCCGGGAGATCGGCGCGGACCTCCGCCCAGAGAGCGTGCTGCTTCTCGCTCCTCTGAAGGAGCAGCTGCTCCAGTTCTGGCACCAGGAGCGGGCGGCAATGCACCGCCCACCTCACCGATCCCCGCCCTCTGGCTCAGGGAGGGCGTCTCCACCGATCCTGGGCCAGGAAGGGCTTGGCCAGGATCGGGGAGGTGTCAGTCCCAGACGCCCAGCGGTGTGATTTTTCCAGTGCCCTTGCCCCGGAAGTCCTGTCAGGAGGGAACAAACACACACAGACACAATTAATCGTCGGTTACCCAGAAAATATGGGAAACTATGGGAAGTTGGGGGGAAGAAACAAACCCAGATAATGTGGGAAAGTCTGGGGGAATCCTGCTATTTGTGTTTATTTATTGGTGTGTCCCAGGGCCCCTTCGTCCTGGACCCTCCCCCGGGGAGCAGTTCTCCGGCCCGGGGCCTGCTCTTGATGGCCCTGCGGGGCCCGAGAGTGGGCCCCATGCAGAGGCCGAAGCGAGGGACCGCCGCCGGCACTGAAGACATCGCATCGCCCCCCGAGGTCCGACGCTGCGACAAAAGCGCAGCCTCGCGAGGAATCACGAGCGGGGCCCTGGACCTCCTCCTCCCTCCTCCTCCTCCTCCTCCTCCTCCCTCCTCCTCCCTCCTCCTCCTCCTCCCTCCTCCTCCTCCTCCTCCCTCCTCCTCCCTCCTCCTCCTCCTCCCTCCTCCTCCTCCTCCTCCCTCCTCCTCCCTCCTCCCTCCCCCCTCCTCCCTCCTCCCTCCTCCCTCCGCCGGCGGCACGTCGGAGCGGCTCCTTCGCCGGAGGGGCCTCTGGGCGCGCGGCTCCTGCGGGGGGGGGCGCGGGGGTCGACTGGCGGCGAGGCGTCCTGGAGCCTGCCCATGTGTCCGGGCCTCCTATACCTTGGCATCGCTCGGACGTGTGCATTTTTCCTTCGGCGAGGGCCATCGAGGAGCATCCTGGATCATTTGGCGAAGAAGCCGCGCACGAAGCCGAACAAAAACACAGGGAATGGACGTCCGAGCGATGGCGAGAGGCCCCATCCGTCTCCGGCAGTTCTCGAGCCAGAGCGATCCGTGACGGCGCCGCGGCCCTGGAACAGCCTAGCAAGGAGGCCCAGCGTGAGCCAGGGGGGCTCGAGCTGCAGTGGGGGCCTATGCCAAGAAACGCACCCTGCTTGCCTCCAGGGTGCCCTGGGTTTGGGTTTCGATGGCTTTGCTGTGGAAGACGTGACGTTCCCACCAAAATCAATGGACGCCCTGGGGTCTCAGGGTTGGGTTTCTCGTGGAGGGTTTCTTGTGGTCGGGCCTCCACTGTACGCGCTTTTTTTGAGCGATTTCGTGGATCGTTTCCGCGTTTCGACATCGTTTTACGGCGAAGGCGAAGGCGAAGACAAAACGAGAGAGAGAGCAAACACAAAGCGCAAACGAACAGCGCTTTTTTGGTCGAGCGCTGGCGTGACAAGTCGCAACGCACGGACCTCAAGAAAGTCACGGCGATCCTCGACCTGCACCCTCCGCACCTTCCGCGCGGCAGGTGCCGCGCCGCCGCATCGCGGCGGCACCTTCCGCGCGGAAGGCGCGGATCGGCCACGCGCAGAGGAGGGGCACGGGGAGGGGGGAAGGCTTCTTCGAAGCACCTGGGCGCGGGCTGTAGGGCCGGCGTCTTGTAGGGAGCAGCCTCCTGCTAAGACGCCTTCCCTCCTCCCTCTAACCCCCAGTGCGCGCCGCCGAGCGGAAGGTGCAGGTCGAGGGGCTGGATGGAGGCTTGGGGATGACGCCCCCCCGGCCAGCAGGACTGCAACGCGCCGCGCCCCGGCGACCTGGTGCCGCTCACGGGCGCGGAACACGTCCGCACCCGCGCCGTCGCTGTTTAGATTCCGGGGCGCGCTCCCGCGGATACGTGCGCGATCGTGCGGACACCTTCCGCGCGGGGCTGCCGCGAAACGACTCCCCGTAGCCGCGGGGCCGCGGCCCAGGGGCCCAGCTCGCGAGGCCGCGGATACGGATATGTTGACGAATGAACAACACACACACCCATACCCATAGGGAGGTCGGAGGGAGCAGGACTGGCTGTGGGTATGGGTGCAGGTTGTCGGATCCCTGGGGAGGCTACCATTCGAGCGGGCCCCCCCCATCCGACAACACGCCCCCATAGCCCCGATCGTCTCCCCCTTTGGGTATGGGTGTGCGTTGTTCGTGCGTCATATGTTCCTCGACCACGAGATGGTAGGCCTCCCAGGTGGGGTCAGAGTCGATGGGGTCGGAGGATGGCGCCGCATCGCCGCTGCATGATGCGGTTCGATGTGGAGACCGATCTTCTCCCCTCCGACGTCGCCGATGCATCGCCGACGCCGCTGCTGCACCGCCGATGCATCGGCGATGCATCGGCGATGCACCGCTGTTGCATCGGCGGTGCGTCGCGATCCTCCGACCCCACCTGCTCGGACCCCACCTGGGAGACCTCCACAGAGGTTCGGGGGTGGACAGAACCCCCACCCTGACACGTCGATTAGTGAATTGTCCATTCTCGGTTCTCGAGAGGGCGCCGGGGCCGTCGTTTTCCAGGCTTTCGCCCGCCAGATTTGGGCCCGAGGTCGTGTTCACGAAATCACGTTTTGCTAAAGGGGGTTCTGTCCATACCCGAGAGTCGGGCCGGACGAAAGGGGGATTGGGAAAGGGGGGGTTACGAACTCTGCCGCATGCAGCTGGTTTCGGCCCCACCGCCCCGGCGCCGGGAGGCGCCGGGAAAGTCAGCGACGTGAGCCGATTCTCAAACCCCCCTGTGCTAGGAGGAGGAGGAGGAGGAGGAGGAGGAGGAGGAGGAGGAGGAGGAGGAAGAGGAGGAGGACCCCCCCTTTCGCCGAGCCCGAGAGAGGTGCAGCTCTCCGGCAGCGGCGGCGCGCAGCTGGTCTGCGAGGCGGCGAGCCCGCTGCCGGCGCCCGGCCGCTGGCGCGTGCGCGTCGCGCGCACGGCGGCCGAGGCGGCCGCGCCGCTGGGCCCCGGGGAGGCGCAGCCGCCGTGCCCGGGCGCGGGGCCGGCGGAGGCCCGGCGGCTCGAAGCTTCGGGGGCGGGAAAGAGCGGGGCGATGACTAGGGGGGGGTGGATATCATGGCGTGGGCCATGATATTTCCCCAGATTTCATGGCGCCTCCTCCTATTTCATTGCGTCCCTGGCCCCCCCGCTGGGCCGGCGGAGGCTCGGCGGCTCGAAGCGGGGGCTCGAGAGACTCTCAGCCAGGGGAACAAAAAGCGGCATAAACATGAAAACTCGGAGGTCCGCGCGGATTTCTCGGATCGGCGCTGGGGCCCCCTCCCTGGCGCGCGGAGCGCGCCAGGGGCGGCGCCGGAGGCGCCGCCGGGGGGCCCCAGCGCCGATCCGAGAAATCCGCGCGGACCTCCGAGTTTTATGTTTATTTAATTTTTCGTTCCCCTATCAGCCACGCGCAGAGGGGGGTGGGGGGGGGGAGGGCTTCTTAGAGGCACCCCTGCTTCCTCGAAGGCGCGGGCCTGATCTGTATATGTGATCTGCACGAACGAGATGGGCACGGAAAGAATGGGTACGATGCCCAAGAGCAGTTCCTGTTCATGTTGCACGGGATTCGTTGTCCACGCCGCCGCGGCCTGTGTCCACTCGAGACAGGAGGCCGCCTGCCCAACAGCGGCCGCTGTTGGTTTGGGACAACATGTGTTGTTGGGCATTGTACCCATTGTTCCCGTACCCATTTCGGGCGTCCAAAACTCAGCCACGCGCAGAGGGGGGTGGGGGAGGGCTTCTTAAAAGCACCCCTGCTTCCTAGAAGGCGCGGGCCTGATCTGTAGATGTGAGGCCAGCACCTTCTAAGAAGCAGCCTCCTTCTAAGAAGCCCTCCCCCCTCCCTCCACCCCCGTGTGCGCGCCGCCAAGAGACGGGGATCAGTGCGGACGGGGGTCCGTCAGAGCGCCAGGTCTCTCAGAACCCTGCCGAGCCAGGGGCGCACCGACCCGGGTCTGGGTACAGGAGCTCGCGGGATCCTGTGAGGCCTGACTGACCCGGGTATGGATTGAGCCGGGTCAGAAGATCCTCAACGAATTTGGGGCTCCCAGATGGGGTCACCCCCCTTTTATAGGCTCTCGGCTGGCAATTAACATCTGTCCTTCCCTCCTCATCCTTCCCCTCCTCCTCATCATTATCATCATCGTCGTCATCATCATCACCAGCAGCATCATCACCATTACCATCATCATCGTAATCATCATCATCATCATCATCATCACCATCATCATCATCATCATCATCATCATCATCATCATGATCATCATCATCATCATCATCATCACCATCACCATTACCATCATCATCGTAATCATCATCATCATCATCATCCCCATCATCGTCATCGTCATCGTCATCGTCATCGTCATCGTCATCATCATCATCATCATCATCATCATCATCATCATCATCATCATCATCATCATCATATCATCCTCATCGCCATTGTCATCATCATCATTAACATTATCATCAACATCAGCATCGTACTCGTCATCGTTACCATTTTAACTATGTCAATGGTTCTCATTCTGCTTATCATTGTCATTATCATCATGCGGGATCCTCACCCCCCCGATCATCAGCGGTGGCCGCCGCGGGGGAATAATCATTCCCAATTATCGTCAGGGGTCCAAATCCGTCAATAAGCCCGCGCCAACAAGAATTGTTTCCCCAGTATTCGGGGGGGTGGGGTATTGAAGACTTTTTGGGTGTAAGTGGAGTCGGAGGATCGCTCCGCCCCGCCGATGCATCGGCGATGCGGCTCGATATGGAGCCCGAACTTCTCCACACCGACGTCGCCGATTGATCGTCGATGCATCGGCGATTCGGCGCGATTCTCCGACCCCATCTGCTCGTACCCTATCTAGGAGGCCTCTACAGAGGGAGGTGACGACTATGGCGGGTGGATCTCATGGCGAGGGCCATGACATCTCCCTGGAGCTCCTGGCGTCTCCTCCTATTTCCAAGACGTCCCCTGGACCCCCCTGGGCCGCGCACCTGCTCCGGGCCACGATCGGTCCCCCCTCTTGGACGCCCACCTGTTGGACGCCTGCAAGAGGAACAAAATGCACGATCATGTATTCTTTGGCGCTCTCCACGCGTGCTTCTTGGATCGGCGCTGGGCCCCCTGGCGGCGCCTCCGGCGCCCACCCCTGGCGCGCTGGCGCGCCAGGCCAGGGCGGGGAGCCCAGCGCCAGAGCGCGTACGTTCAATCCGCGCGGAGGTCCGCTTGTTTACCACTGTGTGCAAGGGCGCCCTCGAGGGTGCGAAGTTATTCGCGCGTTGCGGTTCGGCTGCGATTCCTCCTCATCCTTCTCTTCTCCCCTGGGAGGCGGCGCGAGAGCGCGAAGTTGTTCGCACTTCGCGCTTCGCGCAGCGCGAAACGCGAAGTTGGGAGCCCTTGTATGTAGTTTTGCTCCCCTGTGCACTGGGCTTGTGCTTGTTTTTTTTGCTGTGCTTGATCACTGCGTCTTTCTTGAATTTTTGCCAGAGGGGGCTCGACTACACGAGTTTTCGTTTTAGCATGTTTCTGTTCAGTCGTGGCGCTTCCCTTACTCTCCCAGGGACCTGTTTCGGACCCCCTGACCAGCCACGCCGCGCAAACGGGGTCGAAGCGAATGGGGTCGGTGGATCGCGCCGCTGCGGGCTTCATGTAGAGCCAGATTTGTTTTACGCCGACGTCGCAGATGCATCACGCCGACGTCGCAGATGCATCACCGATGATGCGGCCCGACACTCCGACACCTCATTTCGGCGAGGCTCGGCTACCCAGATCTCTGTCGATGTGTTTTTCGCGGGACGCGTCGTTTTCCTGTTTTTCCCGCCTCCTGGGGCCGCTTTCTTGCGTTGGGGCCTTACGAAGCCGTGTACGGGCTAATGGCGATGTTGGTGACGGCGATGTAGGTTTTGGTATGGTGAGAACGCGTGGCTCGTGCTCTCCTACACGTAGCGATGTCGTCGTCGTTCGATCTAGTCGCAGATTGGAATTGTAGGAACGCGTGGTTCGTGATTTCCTGTCTTTGGTTCCCGACAGCACCGTGAAGCAACATCGCCGTCAGCCCGGCCTCGGAGAAATACGTCTGGGTCGAAGAGCTGCCCCCGAGGAGAGGGTCGGGGCCTTGAACAGGCGGGTCGAAACAACACATCGGCATATGTCTGGCACGCGGAAGAGTGACCCACGGGCCCGCCTAGGGCTGCGCGGTCTACGACGTAACTCCTGCCCCTGGCCAGGCCCACCTTCGGTCACCCTGGGTCCGGGATAGCTGCACATGCCTTCCGGGTCAAGCCAGGAAGGCATACACAGGTTTACACGCCGGTCGCTGAAAGTAGGTATTTTCTGGAATCCCAGATCCCAATCTACTTCAAGCGCCTTCCTACTTCAAGAATCGACACGCTTTTGTCTGTGCTTTGTTACTCCCTGGGGGGGCCTGGATCCAATCAACTTAATCTTACCAGCCTCGAACTTATCCCTATCCCTAAGATTGACACGCGAAAAAGCGATGACAATCTTCGGGATGCGCCCTCAAAAAATGAGGGACTCCCCAAGATTGGCATCGTGATGAGGAGATGCCTAGCTGGTTCCAGGCATGTTCCAGGCTGGTCCAGGCATGTTCACAGGCTGGTCACCGCATTTCCACTTCATGTCTTTACCTACTTCTTCCGACCGACGTGTAAATGCTGATCTACAGTCGGGGCCCTGAAGAAGGAACCCTTTTCGTTGGGGAGGGGCTCCGCGTTACTTACGTGTTTCACAGTTTGCCTCAGGCTTTCCTTCTGTTTTCGACAGGAAAACGAAGGTAAATTATGGAAAAAAGGGGCCTCGCTCCTTATTTAGGGTTCCTTATTTCAACGCCCCGACTGTATATCTACACCGCTCTTGTCCCCAGGACGGTCTTGGCCAGGGGCAGTGGATGTGCGCGTGTAGCTCCTGTCGGCCCATCACGTGGGGTGCCCGGATCGCTCCGTGCGCTGCGATGGCAGCGGCTCGCCCGCTTTCGGCTGCCCCCCCCCCCCCCCGAAAGCAAGGGCGCCCTCGAGGGCGCGAAGTTATTCGCGCTTCGCGCGTTGCGGTTCGGCTGCGATTCCTCCTCATCCTTCTCTTCTCCCCTGGGAGGCGGCGCGAGAGCGCGAAGTTGTTCGCGCTTCGCGCTTCGCGCAGCGCGGAGCGTGAAGTAGTTGGGAGCCCTTGGAAAGCCGCGCACCAGAAGGTTGTCCTGACTCCTGCCCCCGGTCACCCGATCCCTGCGCGCGGCCGCGCGAGGCGCCGGGCGAGGAGCTGGACGCGGGCGAGGAGGACATGACGCTGCTGACGGCGCGCCTGTCGGCGGAGCAGCGGCGGCACTGGGGCGAGCTCGTGGAGGAGCTCCGCGGCGGGAATTCATACATGACCACCGGGGCGTCGGCAGGCGGGGGATCTGGACATATTTCAAGGGCAGAAGAAATACCCCTACCCTGGTTTACGAGGCGCTGTGCGCTGAAACTCCTGTGGGCTGACAGGGGAAACCCTGCGTGATGTGCCGCGTCCTGGCGGCTCTAGGCTTCGGGGCCTCCCAGGAGGTTTACAGACCACGCATTTGTAACCCAGGATAGGGTCGTTTTCTCATCCCTCAAATATTCGGACCCCCGGGGGCCGAAGTATGTCCATATCCACCGCCCGCGGGGGCACCAGGGCGTCGGTCCCCAGGCCATGGATATGGATAACTCTCAGGAGGGGAAAAACACGCACAGACACAATGAATCGTAGATTTCCCCGAAAATATGGGAAACTATGGGAAGTGGTGGGGAAGACAAAAAAAACCCAAAAATATATGACAATTTTGGGAATCGTTATATTTGTGTGTATTTATTTGTGTGTCCCCTGCAGGGCCCCTTCAATGGACATATTCGGACACCCGGGGGCCGAAATGTGTCTATATCCGCCGCCCGCTGGGGCACCAGGACTTCGGTCCCCAGGCCATGGATATGGGTAAATCTCAGGAGGGGAAAAAAACACACAGACACAATTAATCGTCGATTCCCCAGAAAATATGGGAAACTATGGGAAGTGGTGGGGAAGACAAAAAACCCAAAACTATAGGAACATCAAAGGTCGTGTGTCCTGGGGCCCCTTCAAAGTCCTCGCTCCTCGCAGCGGAGAGGAGCGGCCCGGGCTGTTCGGCCAGCGCATGCGCTCCGACAACGAGGCCCGCTGGCGGCGGCTCTTCGGCGCCGCGGCGCGCCGGGGCGGCGCCGGGGTTGGCGCGGGCGCGTGCGCGGCCGAGGAGGCCTCCTCCTCCCTTCTCCTCCTCCCTCCTCCCTCCTCCTCCTCCTCCTCCTCCTCCCTCCCTCCTCCCTCCTCCTCCTCCTCCTCCTCCTCCTCCTCCTCCTCCTCCTCCCTCCTCCCTCCTCCTCCCTCCTCCTCCTCCTCCTCCTCCTCCTCCTCCTCCTCCTCCTCCTCCTCCTCCTCCTCCTCCTCCTCCTCCTCCTCCTCCTCCTCCTCCCTCCCTCCCTCCTCCCTCCCTCCCTCCCTCCTCCTCCTCCCTCCTCCTCCCTCCTCTCCCTCCTCCCTCCCTCCTCCCTCCTCCCCCTCCCTCCTCCTCCCTCCTCCCCCCTCCCCCCTCCTCCCTCCTCCCTCCTCCCTCCGCCGGCGGCACGTCGGAGCGGCTCCTTCGCCGGAGGGGCCCCTGGGCGCGCGGCTCCTGCGGCGGGGGGGGGGCGTGGGGGGGCGACCAGCGGCGAGGCGTCCTGGAGCCTGCCCATGTCCAGGCCTCCTCATATCCTCCTCCTCCTCCTCCTCCTCCTCCTCCTCCCTCCTCCTCCTCCTCCTCCTCCTCCTCCTCCTCCTCCTCCTCCTCCTCCTCCTCCCTCCTCCTCCTCCTCCTCCTCCTCCTCCTCCTCCTCCTCCTCCTCCTCCTCCTCCTCCTCCTCCTCCTCCTCCCCCTCCTCCTCCCTCCTCCCTCCTCCCTCCTCCCTCCTCCCTCCTCCCTCCTCCTCCCCTCCTCCCTCCTCCTCCCTCCTCCCTCCTGTCCAGGCCTCCCAGGTGGAGTCGATGGATCGCGCCGCAGCGCCGATGCATCGGGGATGCGGCTCGATTCAGGAGGGAACAAAAACACACAGACACAAGTCATCTTCGATTTCCCAGAACATATGGGAAACTATGGGAAGTGTGGGGGGGAAGACAACAAACCTAGAACATACGGGAAACTATGGGGAATCATTTTATTTGTGTGTATTTATTTGTGTGTCCCAGCGGGGCACGCATTTCTCCACGCCGACGTCGACGATGCATCGCTGACGTCGCCGTTGCATCGCCGATGCATCGGCGATGCATCGGCGAGGCGGCGCGATCCTCCGACCCCACCGACTCCGAACCCATCTAGGAGGCCTCAACTACAGGCCCCCAAGGAATGCTCTCAGAGCCCTTTTATGGTGTGCGCGAGGTGTTCTCAGAGCTTTTCTGGCTCCGGTTGTCTTGTGTTAACACATCGGTTCTCTGTTCTGCGGGGCTTCTCAGAAGCCGCCGGGCCTCTGAGAAGCCCCCTGCACCTCTGGAGGAGGCTTTCAAGACGGCGCGAGGGCCTCCGAGAAGCTCCGCCGCCCTCTCAGCAGGCCTGTTCCCCCTCTCACTCCCCCCTCCCGGGCGCGCCGCCCCAGGCCGCCCCTGCAGCATCGCATGCAGCGCTCGGCACGCCGCGCGCCAAAGGGCACTCTTCCCGAGGGGGCCCCTTGCCGCGTGCGGCCGGCGAGGACGCCGGGCTGCCGCTGGAGCAGACCTTCGTGGCCACGCTGCACGGGCTGGTCGCCGAGCTGCTGCCCGGCGCCCGCGCGCTCACGGTGGACCTGCTGGGCTGCCGGCCAGCGCTGGAGCTGGAGAGCCCGGACGCGGCGCTGGTGGCCCTGATGCAGGCGCTCCCCGCGGGCCTGGAGCAGCTGACCGTGCGCATGTGTGGGCCAGAGGTTCATCGTTTTTTGAGCCAGGGCTGGACCTAAACGGTGTTTTCGTTTTCGTTTTTTTTTCGTTGTCCCTCGTTTTGTCTTCAAGCCGCCTCGACCGCAAAACGAAGGCGCAACGAAAACGGCCCACGAAACCGCCAAAGCACCGTTTAGGTCCAGCCGTCTTTTGAGCCATCCCCATCCCCACTTCGCCATGGTGTCTTGCCCCCACCAGCCTACCCTCCCAGCTGGAAACTTGTAGGCCCCGCAGCACTCTAAGGAACATGCCCATGTCCCCACCTGGGTGGGCAAGTCGGCCAGTGGGGCCAGGGCCACGCCAGTGGAGATAGGGATCGTCTGACGGGGCCAGGAAGAGGATAAATACGTTCCAGAGCAACCTGGAACGCTCTCAGAGCGTTCCGGAACGCTCTCAGGAGGCCGCGGCGCCCGAGACATCCTCCAGAGCTGCGGGATCTCGGAGGTTCTCGATGTACCCTCACCCGAATTTATCCTCGTCTTGGCTTCGTTTCGGGCCGGACGAAAGGGGGGGATTGGGAAAGGGGGGGTACGAAATTTGCTGCATGCAGCTGATTTCGGCCTCACCGATGGGCCTATTCCTCGATACATAGCCGCCTCTGGCGCCAGGAGGCGCCGGGAAAATCAGCTACGTGAGCTGATTCTCACCCCCCCCCTTTGCTATCCCCCCCTTTCGCCCGGCCCGATCTTGGCTTCGTCTCAGACTGGTGGAGCGATGCTCAGAGGTCAACTCCGACGACTGCCTCCGGTCGCACGACATCGGCGGCGGCCGGCGGCTGCACCTGGAGCTCCGCCGCGGGCTGTACCACGACGCCTGGCCCGAGGCCGACGCCGACCTCGTCGTCGCCATGAACGCGGGGGTTGCTGGAGGAGGCGAAAGTTCGGGGGTGGACAGACCTCCTAAGATTGACACGCCAAAAGGCGATGACAATCTTAGGGATGCGCCCTCAAACAATAAGGGAATCCCTACGATTGGCATCGTGATGAGGAGATGCCCAGCATAGGGATAGGGATATGTTCCAGGCTGGTAAAGTCCAGGCTGAAGTCGGGCCTGTCCCTCTAGACTTCTTCGGGGGTGGACAGACCTCCTACCCTGACACGTCGATCAAGGAATCGGCCGTGTTCGCTTCGCGAGATGGCGTCGCGGCCGTGCCTTTCGCGGGACCAGGTCCGTCGGCTTCGGTCCCAGGCCGTTTTCGCTAAAGGGGGGTTTTACTAAAGGGAGGTTTGTCCACCGCCGAAAAGTCGGTGGCGAGCGAGGGGCGGAACTGAGCAGACAAAGGCCTTCTCAGAAGGCGGCGGGGCTTCTCGGAAGCCCGCCTCCTGAGAGGTTTCCCGTGCCCTCGGGGAAGGCTTAGAAAACCTCCCAGATGACCCTGGGACTTCCGAGCCGTCTGAGAAGGCCCGGCCCTTCTCACTTCCCCCCCTCGCTCGCCGCCGAGGACAAAGTCAGAAGCCGTCGGGGCTCCGCGCGGGCCTCTTGGACCGGCGCTGGATGCGCCGCCCTGGGGGGGGCCCAGCGCCGACCCAAGAGCATTCGCGCGCTGAGCTCCGAGGAGTTGTGCGCACTCCGGGCACGCGCCAGCATGGATGAGGGACCTCTGGACCTGGACCCAACCTCCCCCCCTGGTCCTGGCCCCAGCGCCCCTCGCCCCGCTGGCCCTGTCCCTGGACCCAGCCTCCCCCCCCGGCCCTGGCCCCAGTCCCCCTCGCCCTGGACCCTTTGTTTTCGTTCGTCGTCGTCCCTGGTCTGGTCCCGGACCCGGCCCTACGGAGGCACGAGGCCAGGGCCGCCTCATATCGGCGAGCGGCAGTGCGCCGATCCTGTGCACGGAAGCTGGGCCCTCCGCTGATGTGGGCGCTTTCTCGCCAATGTTTCCCATTCTGGGCGCTTTGGCAAATGTTCGCTCTCTCAATGTGTGTGTGGGCCGTTGTTTACCTCCTCCGGGTGGGCGACGGTCAGGAGGGGAAGAAGCACACAGACACAATTAATCGGCGAATCCCAGAAAGTATGGGAAACTATGGGAAGTGGGGGGAAGACAGAGAAACCCAGAACATATGGGAAAATATGGGGAATCTTTTTATTTGTGTGTATTCATTTGTGTGTCCTGGGGCCCCTTCAGACGGAAGCCACCAGGGTTGACTGCGCGGACACTCGCGCGCAAGTTTCCCGCACGGGATGGCGCGCCGGCGCCCTCGTCTTCGCGCGGCGTGCCACACGCCGGAGCCCGCGCACGCCGTGGCCGAAGACCGCTGTGTCGTCTCGCGTACAGCCGGGGCGCTGCAGAAGGAGCCCTTTTCGTTGGGGAGGGGCTCGGTGTTCCTTGATTGTTCTACAGTCTGCCTTCCGTTTTCCTTAGGTTTGCCATGGGAAATCGAAGTTTAACTCATGGGAAAAAAGGGGCCTCGTTCCTTATTTGGGGTTCCTGATGTCAACGCCTCGACTGTACACCGTGGCTGAAGACCGCTATGTCTTCTCGCGTAAGATCAGGTTCTTTGTCTCCCTCCACGTGGGCGACCCGCAGGAGCTCGATGGTCTATGATCGCTGTAGGTTCGTTTCGTGTCGACGCGGCTTCGACCCCGAGCGCGGGCGTGTAAGGTTGAACGCCGCCAGTTGCCCAGAGTCTGCCCATATGGAACGACTTAGAGATGAACGCCGCCCATCGTTCAAGGTTTCGCGATCCACGCGGTGTCAGAAACCAAGGCCCGAGTCGACACGACACAAACTCGCCTCACGCAGTTCCCTACAGGCGTTTCGCTTGGGGGGTCCAGTAAGGAGTCTCACAGAAGGGGACGGGAAGCCCGACGAGGACGTTTGGTCCAGCAACCAGTCTGGCAGCAGTTTTCCTGAGACTTCCTCACAATTTTCAGGAGGGAAAAACCACACACAGACAAAATTAATCGTCGACTCCCCAGAAAATATGGGAAAATATAGGAATTCGGGGGCAAGACAAACACCCAGAAAATATGGGAACATGGGAGTCCCGAGAAACACCGAGGAATGCTCGTTTTCACGAGCCGACCTACTGCTTCTCGACCCGCCTCTGCTGCTCTTAGGGTGCTTGGTACTCAGCTGGGATGTGTCGTCTTTTTCGGAAACTGGAGCATCTACATTACCAGTGGCGGGCTGGTTTTTCAATCCCAGGTTTTTTTTGAGGGTCGGGGGCGACGTCGGGGTGGTGTGGTGTACACTTTTTCCCCGCTTTCCCAGGGAAACAACGAAACATTTGTACACCAGGATCCCGCATACACCAGGATCCGCGTTCCTGTGCGAGCTTCAGCGCAGTGCCGGAAAAAGCGTCGGTGTATAGAGTTCGTTTCCCTACTTGGTACTCAGTCGGGGGCGGCAAAGAGGGGGGTGATGACTAGGGGGGGGGGTGGATATCATGGCGGGGGCCATGATGTTTCCCCAGATGTTATGGCGCCTCTGCTTCTTTCATTGCCTCCCTGGCCCCCCCGCTGGGCCGCGCACATGCCGCCGGTCATGATTTGCACCCCCCCCTCTTGGACACCCCCCTCATGGCCGCGGTTCGGCTCCGATTCCCCCTCATCCTCCTCTCCTCCCCTGGGAGGCGGCGCGAGAGCGCGAAGTTGTTCGCACTTCGCGCTTCGCGCAGCGCGACGCCCGAAGCTGGGAGCCCTTGATAGAGAGTTCGCTTCCCTACTTGGTACCCAGCTGGGATATCTGTTCTTCTCTCCAGGTGGGCGTCCCCCAGTACGCGACGATGTGGGGCCCCACCCTGGACCTGCTCGCGCGGCGGCCCCGGCGCGGCCTGCTGGCGCTCACGTCGTACACGTCGGGCGAGCTGCTGCGCGAGGAGAGCCTGCTGCGCGCCCGCTGGGCAGAGGTTTTTGGGGCTTCCCGTCTGTCAGGAGGGGACAGAGAAACACACGGACACAATTCATCCTCGACTCCCCAGAGGGTATGGGGAGATGTGGGAAGAGGGGGGGAAGGCAGAAGCCCAGAACATCGGGGGAGATGTGAGGGATTTGGTTGTTTGTGTCTGTGTATTTGTGTGTGTCCCAGTTCCCCTTCATTCTGATTCTCGAAGGGACACGGCCACTCGAAACCTGTCTCGATGCCCCGAACGGCCATCCCCGAGCCGACCATACCCGCGGACTCGTTCGGGCTCACAATGAGCTGGCCTGCAGGGTGCCAGCACGCACTCCTGGCGCACACCCCGCGGCCCTGGACGCTCGCCCTGCGCACGCAGGCTTGACGTGGTCTCCCAGAGCCTTGAGATGATCAGAAGCTTGGCATCGCTTGGACGTGTGCTTTTTTCCTTCGGCGAGGACCAACGAGGAGCATCCTTGATCATTTGGCGAAAAAACCACGCACGAAACCGAAAAAAGAAACAGGGAATGGACGTCCGAGCGATGGCCAGCTTGAGATGATCAGAAGGGAACCCATGCGGAGGTGGTGGCGCTGGCGGATGCGCCGTGCCTGGCGCAGGCACCTTGGGCGGGGGCCAGGACCCGGACCCAGGCATGCTCGAGCCGGAGCAGCAGCCACGACGGGAAGCTTCTGGCCATGTTCGACCTCTGGGGGCCCTCGCCGGGCCCGGGGGCAGTCAAGAATCGACTCGAGATGGAACCCCGGCCCCTGGGAAAGTGCCGGGACTCCAGGGCGCCCGCGTGGAAATGATCAGGGCGTGTCATGTCTACGAGAGAGTTCCGGAGCGTTCGGGAACGCTCTCGGAGCGGTCCCGTTGCGCTCTGGAACGGCCGCGGCCGCCGCCATGCTCCAGAGCCGCTTGAACTCTCCGACATTTCCCCGATCTGCGCCAGTCCGACTTTGTCCCTGTTTTGGCTTCGTAGGCTGGGGGCGGTGTGGTGACTACACCGTGTGGTGAGTCGGTGGGGCATGGTTTCGGGACTCGGGTCGTTCTCCGAGGACGTCTCTGGCGACCGGGGCCTCGGAGGTCCCAAAACTGTGCGGTGACGGTCAGCGCGGTGAGGTCGCTGGGGATTCCGAGGTCACCACTAGAGGCCTCATATATGGGGGTCGGAGCAGATGGGTTTGGAGGATTGCGCCGAATTGCCGACTCATCGGCGATGCGGCTCGATGTGGAGCAGGGACGTCGATCAGCTCGCTGGGGACCGTTTTCGTTTTGATCTCGCAGCAGGGGCAGAACGGCGACGTAACGAGGGACAACGGCACCAGAAACTCGGATGCAACTCCTGGGAGGTCAAATTCTGTTTTCGCCCTGGTCCGACATTCAGCTTATAATCCCGCTGAATCCTGCTTCATCCCGCTGAATCCGGCTTAATCCGAGGCCCACTCCGGCGTAACAGACAGCTCCCTAACAGAGCTTAATCCTCCTTGCAGTGCCGTTTTTAATAATGCTCCGCGTGCGGGTCATGTATTAAAAATGCAAGGAGTTAGTATTAAAAACAACGATGAGTTCATGCCTGAATTTATTCATAAAATGTTAATGTATTAATTATCCCAGTGCGACCCTACCTAGGAGTTGGAGCCCCTAGGAAAGCAGCATTAGTAGTAACAGTAAAGCTAAGCTAAAGCTAAGCTAAAACTAAGCTACATCTAAGCTAAAGCTAAGCTAAAGCTAAGCTGAAGCTAAGCTAAAGCTAAGCTCAAGCTAAGCTAAAGCTAAGCTGCAGCTAAGCTAAAGCTAAGTTAACGCTAAGCTGAAGCTAAGCTAAATCTACACTAAGGCTAAGCTAAAGCTAAGGTAAAGCTAATATAACGCTAAGCTAACTCTAAGCTAAAACTAAGGCAACTCTAAGGTAAATCTACGCAAAAGCTGAGCTCAAGCTAAGCTAAAGCTACGCTAACGCTAAGCTGCAGCTAAGCTACAGCTAAGCTGAAGCTAAGCTAAGGCTACGCTAAAGCTAAGCTAAAGCTAAGCTAACGCTAAGCTAAAGCTAAGCTACAGCTAAGCTACAGCTAAGCTGAAGCTAAGCTGAAGCTAAGCTAAAGCTACGCAAAAGCTAAGCTAAAGCTAAGCTAAGCTAACGCTAAGCTAAAGCTAAGCTAAAGCTAAACCTACGCCAAAGCAAAGCGAAGCTAAAGCTAAGCTAAAGGTATGCTACATCTAAGCTACGCTAAGCTAATATGAGATACACTAAACTAAGCTAAGCTAAGCTAAGCTGAGCTAAGCTACAGCTAAGCAACACTAACATGACGCTAAGCTAAGCTAAGCTAAGCTAAGCTAAGATGAGATAAGCAACGCTAAGCTAAGGGGACGTAACTGGGGGAACCGCGGGGCGGATACTGGGGGAACCGCCCGGGGCGAGTTGCACTGCCCGGCTCTTTAAGCATACCGAGTAAGAACCTTTCTAGGCAAAGCCTAGGTAGGGACAAATGCGTTTCTTATTTATCATATATTAATACGATACCAACAATTTGAATTACATTTATGCTATGATATGCGATGCTGCGCTATGCTGTGCTACGCTATGCTATGCTGCGCTCTGCTATGCTAAAGCTCATCGAAGCTAAGATGCAGGTAAGCTAAGCTAAGATAAACTGAGGTAAGAAGAAGCTAAGCTAAGGACATATGAAACAAGCTAAGCTAGTATGAGATAAGCAACGCGAAGCTAAGGGAACGTCACTGGGGGATCCGCGGGGCGGATACTGGGGGAACCGCCCGGGGCGAGCTGCACTGCCCGGCCCTTTCAGCATACCGAGCAAGAACCCTTCTAGGCAGAGCCTAGGCAGGGAAACATCCGATATGTTTGAAAGAGCGTGTTCTACCGCTGCTGGCTGAAAACCGAGGGGGGGTCACTACCGGTTCGAACCCCTCCCCCCCCCCCCCTCCGGAAAACCGGGGGGGGTCACTACCGGTTCGAACCCCTCCCCCCCCCCCCCAGCTCATCATGAAAAGGGGGGGGGTCACTACCGGTTCGAACCCGCCCCCCCCCCCTCGAAAACCGAGTGGGGGTGCGGACAGTGGTGGGGACGGTGTTGGTGGGGACAGTGGTGAGGGGACAGCGGGACAGTGGTGGGGACAGTGGGGGGACAGTGGGACAGTGGTGGGGACGGTAGTGGTGGGGACAGTGGTGGGGACAATGGTGGGAACAGGGGGGACAGTGGACAGTGGTGGGAACGGTGGTGGTGGGGACAGTGGTGTGGGGACAGTGGGAATGAGGTGGAAACAGTGGGACAGTGGAGGGTACAATGGTGGTGGGGACAGTGGTAAAGGCGGTGGCGAGGACGGCGGTGGGACAATGGGACAGAGGTACAGTGGGGACAGTGGTGGGGACAGTGGGGACAGTGGTGGGAACAGTGGGACAGCTCAGTGGGACAGCGGAGGAGTCAGTGGGACAGTGGGGACAGTGGGGATAGGCAGTGGTTGGGTCCGTGGAGACAGTGGGGAGAGTGGAACCGTGGTGGGAACAGTGGTGGGAACAGTGGGGACAGTGCGACAGTGGCGGGGGCACTGGTGGGGACAATAGGGACGGTGGTGGAACCAGTGGGGACAGTGGTGGTGAGGACAGTGGTGCTGGGAACAACAGTGGGGGATGTGATGCGAGCGGTGGTAGGGACCGGGAGTCGTTTGCTGGCGGTGCGCGGGGGGGGGGGGGGTCGAACCGGTAGTGACGCCCCACCGGTTTTAGAAGGGGGGGGGTCCAAAAGGTAGTGACCCCCTCCGGTTTTCTGGATCCGGAGGGGGGGGGGTGGTTTCGAACCGGTAGTGACCCCCCCCGGTTTTCGAGGGGGAGGGGGGGGGGGGGGTGGGGGGGGGGGGGAGGGGGGGGGGGGGGTGGGGGGGGGTTAGGGGGGGGGGGGGGTTTTGCCGGGAGGGAGGGGGGGGGGGGGGGAGGGTTCCGGCAGGGGGGGGGGATTTTCCGGAGGGGGGGGGAGACCCCCCGGGTTCCGGAGGAAAAGGTTGGCAATTTTCCACAGTAAAGCGGCGGTGGATCACGCTCTCTCGTATGTTTAAACATACCATGTGTTAAAAAACTGAGGAGGAGGAGGAGGAGGAGGAGGAGGAGGAGGAGGAGGAGGAGGAGAAGGAGGAGGAGGAGGAGGAGGAGGAGGAGGAGGAGGAGGAGGAGGAGGAGGGGAAGAGGAGGAGGAGAGAGGAGGAGGAGGAGACGAGGAGGAGGAGGAGGAGGAGGAGGAGGAGGAGGAGGAGGAGGAGGAGGAGGAGGAGGAGGAGGAGGAGGGCCTCTCGACAGAGAAAAAAAACAACACGGGAAGCACTGCCCGGCTCGAGCCCCGCCGCACGGCTCTCGGGTCCCCCGGGCAGGCGCGGGGCCCCGCTGGTCGCCCCCGGGCCCTCCCGGGGCGTCCGGTCGGGCCTGTCTCGCTACAGGAGGAGCATACAATCTGGACGCCCGAAATGAATAGGATTCGCTGTCCACGCCGCCGCGGCCTGTGTCCATTCGAGACAGAAGGTCGCCTGCTCAACAGCGGCCGCTGTTGGCTTGGGACAACATTTGTTGTTGGGCATAGTGCCCATTCTTTCTGTACCCATTTCGGGTGTCCAAATACAACTCGGATGCTCATTTTGGGGACCTTCCTGGGGGCCACCTAATGGATCTGTTCGACTCAGGTTCGACTCAGGTTCGACTCAGGTTCGACTCAAGTTCGACGCAGCTTCGACGCAGCTTCGACGCAGCTTCGACGCAGCTTCGACGCAGGTTCGACTCAGGTTCGACTCAGGTTCGACTCAGGTTCGACGCAGCTTCGAGGCACGAGTGGAACGAGTGGCTCCAGGAAGGTCCCCAGAAGGAGCATCTAATACAACAATGGTGAAGAACCAGTCTCCGGAGGAGAATCAGCCACGCGCAGAGGGGGGTGGGGGGAGGGGGGAGGGCTTCTTAGAAGCACCCCTGCTTCTTAGAAGGCGCGGGCCTGATCTGTAGATGTAAGGCTGGCGCCTTCTAAGAAGCAGCCTCCTACTAAGAAGCCCTCCCCCCTCCCTCTACCCCCTTGTGCGCGCCGCCAAGAGAGAGAACACACAGACACAATTCATCCCCGATTCCCTAGAAAAATATGGGAAACTAGGGGAAGTGTGGGGGGGGCAGGCAGAAACCCAGAGAGTATGGGAAGCTATGGGGAATCATATTTTATTGTGTGTATGTTTTTTGGGGCATAGTCAGGGACGAGGTTTCTGTGCTTGTGGATTACTCTGGAGATGTTTGGACACACGCTTGTTGTTCTTTCCAAGTTCGCCTGTAGGGAACGCATGCCCGACCCAACTCGGTGGGCTCCTCAGGGCCCCAACGGGGGCCTGCAGGGCCCGAGAAGCGCACCGTTCCTCCCCCCCTCAGTACCCTGAGATCCGACGTTGCGACAGACTGCAACGTCGCCCAAAAGCACGACCAGAACCCTAGACCTTAGTGGGCCCTGGAAACGACAGGGCCGTTTTTTTAAGGGTTCCGTGTTGCCGTGTTTTCGCCGGTTCCGATGCCGTTTTTTTACCTCATCCGTCGCCGTTTTTTGACCGGCTCCGGGTACGGTTCCAATCCTGGAGCATTTTT